CAACTCCTTGTTATTCAGAGGGCAACTCCCTACGCTTGGAAAGAGGCTCTAACTTTAGGAGTGAGACAGCTAGTCTTGGTCTGTTGAAAGCAGGAAGGGGCGTTCTGAGGAAGGGGCTTTTCTAAGGCAATTGCCTAACAAGCCCATCCATAAGTACACAGCCACTTGTAATTTTCAGTACTCTCCGTAATGTGATGTGTGTGGTGCTTTGAGCCCACCATCCTGCTGCCTTTCTGATGGTTGTGTCTTTTGAACACTAACTTCTATAAGCAATTAGTTATTATTGGGTGGTATTTATTTTACAGTAGTTTTGGAAACTGTCATACTTACAATATATTAAAGAAATAGTTGTGCAGGGTTTTTGACATTAATATATAAAATAACATGCCCCAAGACTTTGCTGGCGTAGTGAACAGGTAAGTTGAGACATTGACAGCATAGTAAATTTGACAAACAATAATTGTTAAAAATACCGGGCACAATCAAACAATGGGCAACTTGACGATGTTTGTTTCACAAAAGGAGTATGAAATACTAAAACAAAAAGAAACAAAAAGGCCAATGACAAACAAGTTTGGATTGTGAACAAGGTACATTTACCTTCAGAATCGTGTCTGTTCTGTCCGCACTATTCCAAACATTCTAATGCAATAGAGTAATTGCTGACATAAAGGACTTGAAACGTATTAGTAAGAAAGGTGGCCTTGCAGGACAAATTGAAATGTAAGCATAAATCATCCACTTTCTAGTTAGTAGTATTTAAATATTAGATGATAAATGATCATCACATTTTTTTTATTTAAATTCAGCCAATAATTGGGTGCAAACATGATCGTTCCCACCTCATACACAGGAACATTAAGGAAAGTCATTCCATGGACTTAGAAAACTTCCGTGGCACCAGTAGTCTGTCTTCATGACTTTTAAACAGGTATAAAAATAGGCCATAGTAAATTTTAAAGAAAAATGAACTGAACATTGAATCAATAAAACTGGTGCTTACATTTAACAAGATGAATTTAGCCAACAAGTGAATGAATTAATTTTTTCAATTTTGTCAAACAGAGTATTTCTTCCAGTTGGAGCCAACTTCTTCATTACTACTTATCCTTTCTCTGAAAAGGGTTTCATTTTTCCTTTCAAGAAACAAACCTGAGGGTATAATTGAATGAACACAATTTACATGGGATATTGCTCTTAGAACCCAGAAGCAAGAAATGCCGGCTTTGCCTTCAGCTATGGATTTACATGTGGAGAATCCATTGGAAAACGTGACTGAAGTCACCATGTTTATACTGATGGGCTTCACAGATGATTTTGAGCTGCAAGTCTTCCTGTTTTTATTGTTTTTGGCAATCTATCTGTTCACTCTGGTAGGAAATTTGGGACTGGTCATACTGGTCATTGCGGATTCCCGGCTCCACAACCCCATGTACTACTTTCTGAGTGCTTTATCATTCTTGGATGCCTGCTATTCTACTGTTGTCAGCCCCAAAATGCTGGTCAATTTCCTGGCAGAGAACAAAGCCATTTCACTTGTTGGCTGTGCAGCACAGTTGTTTCTATTTGGTACTTTTGGGACCACAGAATGCTTTCTGTTGGCGGCAATGGCTTATGACCGCTATGTAGCCATCTATAACCCTCTCCTGTATGCAGTGAGCATGTCACCCAGAGTCTACGTGCCACTCATCACCGGCTCCTATGTCTGTGGCATTCTGCATGCTACTGTACACACTGTGGCTACGTTCAGCCTCTCCTTCTGTGGATCCAATGAAATTAGACATTTCTTTTGTGACATCTCTCCTCTTCTTGCTATTTCCTGTTCTGACACTCACACAAACCAGCTCCTTCTCTTCTACTTTGTGGGCTCCATTGAGACAGTCACGGTCCTGATTGTCCTGATCTCTTATGGTTCCATTCTGTTGGCAATTCTGAAAATGCATTCTGTGGGAGGGAGACAAAAAGTGTTCTCTACATGTGGTTCTCACCTAACTGGAGTGTCAATTTATCATGGAACAATCCTCTTCATGTATTTGAGGCCAAGTTCCAGCTATGCATTAGAGCACGACATGATACTGTCTGTATTTTACACCATCATGATTCCCATGCTGAATCCCATCATCTACAGTTTGAGGAACAAAGATGTAAAAGAGGCCATCAGAAGAGTCAGAAAGATTGGTGGATGATGCATTTTTCACACTAAAAATAAAGACATAAAAGAGGCCCTGAAAAGTGTATTGAGAAAAATTGGTTCCTACGTAAAATAGAGTTTTAGAAATGAGCACACTTGAGAATAATATTGGGTATCAGTCCATGTGTCTATGGTCATAATCCTTATTGAGAAAATGTCTAAGCATCAACAAAAGCAAATACAAAATACAAATTAGAAAATAACCTAGACCAGGTTGCAATGTATGACTACTTGCAGATCTGAAAAGCTAGCCTATTTTGGTGCAGGGATCCTGGTTGTAGGTTGCTGTATCCCTACTCAGGTTCTAATCCTGTCATTGTGCTCTCTTTATGGGGGGCAGCCTTGCATTTGTTATCATTCAGCAAAGTTCATATCTGATAAGCAAGCCCCAGAAAACAGAAACAACCTCACTTGAATTAAGCCCACCTGTTCCACTTTGTCCATTGCACTACATTAATTTTTGTTCTAGAATTTGCTTACATGAAGAATCATTAAGAGAGGACATTGACTTTCCTTTCAAAATCTCAGTGTTTTCCTGAAGGAATGACTGTCTTCTGCTAGAACAATGCATCAACACATCTTAATAAAGGCAATGTTTCCTTTGAGAGTTGATTCATAACTGTGAGATTGATATCCAAAACAATAATTTGTAATACCTCAGTTTCTAATCTCATCTGGTCAGTTATGCAAAGAGAAGATATTCAGGGAGGCACCTGTGGCTCAAAGGAATAGGGTGCAGTGCCCATGTACCAGAAATGGCGAGTTCAAACCCAGCCCCGGCAAAAAAAAAAAAGAGAGAGAGAGAGTGAGAACATGTTCATCTATATTAAATTCAGGGAGAAAAAAACTATATTTAAATTTTTTAAGCAAAATTAATTTTTTAACTGTCATTTGTAATTCTTTTTAATAAACCATATAGTTCTAATTTTTTTTATTAAATCATAGCAGTGTATATTAATACTATCATGGGGTACAGTGTACTGTTTCTGTATACAATTTGAAATACTTTCATCCAACTAGTTAAAATAACCTTCATGTCTTTTTCTTAGTTACTGTGTTAAGAGATTTATATTCTACATTTAGAGAGATTCACATGTACCCTTA